TAATTATGCTGGCCTGTATATTGTAAATGACACATTGAATTGAGAAACTGCATTCTTGCTGTCATCACGATAATGTCCCTATATTAGTGTAAAAACTTACTTTCAGTATCTATCCTGTGTTTTGAGCTGCTTTAGTGAGAATCTTCAACCAAGCCTCATAAAATGTGTATCCCCTCCATCCCCCAAAAGGCAAAAATATACAATTAAGTTGACCAAGCATACAAATCTAAGCTCTTTATCATAGTGTAAATCTTACTGCAGTTTTTAACACAAAAGCATGCACACAGACTTCAAGGTCTGATCAGGCACACCCATGGAGTCCAGCATCCTTACCCCACGTGACCTATAATGGAACATAAAGGGATGGATACAGGCAAGGAAAAGCATACACACACCCCAACACTCTGCCAGAACATGCTCCCCATTTCTAGCTTCTCCAATAACAGATCTTGGGACACCCAAAGGTGTCAAATGCACAGGACCTGCCCCAAGGTATCCTGCCCAGAGTCTGGTTGCTAAAGAGATTCACATATGTACCAAGCCCAGAAGTATATATTTTAAATATTATAAGCAGCACTAAAAACCGACTTTGGGAAGCTGAGTCAAACACTTAAACTTAGATGCCTGTTTTGACATCTAATTGGTGGTGAATCCTGCTCTTGGTGTTTTGAGCATTCTCCTGCAAATCTTCACAGTCCATTTGAGCACTGCTTATCCTCTGTAACACTGCATCATTAGCTAGTTCAGTATTCATTCACACAAATTTTGATTTCTGGCAATTTAAGAAGCTTCCTCAGACATAGCCAATAATATGTGTAAATAGCCAAAGGTTAAAAGTTTAAACTTTTCAATGTTTGCAGCGCTAGGCTATTCTAACTGCTGTTGTAACAATGTATGTATACAGAATGAATAGCAACTATCCTAAGTACAGGCCTGAGGAACAGAAACTACACTCCAACGCATTTCTCCTGGTCATGAGTGCCTGGAAAAGAATCACTTGTGTTAGCATATCTCAGTTCTTTTACAGGTTCTGATACAACTGTTCAATGTCACACCTAAGGAAAAAAAAAGTATCTCAAAATAGAGCTTCCACATAGGATTTTAAGTCTTAACCCACAGATAAAAAGTTAACTCTCCTTCAAACATAAAACATGTTTCAACCTCAAAAAGAGGAGAATAGAATAGCTAATAATAGCTAAAATGTTTGGATAATGCTAGACAATTAAAAGTCATGTAGTATAACCTCTTTTGAGATAAATTACTCTTTAGGGGCTAGTACAGTCCTTGTAAAAGTAGATGTGGTATTTATTTCAGTCAAGTATTTCCAACATAGGTGATTTGAGCATTAAGGAAAAAGAAACTATCTTTCCCAAAGTCTGACCATACAATCCAGCTGAGATGGGTTCCAAGCTTATCCCAGGTTAGGAAAGCTAAATCACAATCTCCAATACCCAAGCAGGCTTTTCTTCTAGTTGAAAATCCATATAACAGCTTCCTATAATAACAACAGGTTTGTGGTCAAGATTCCCATCTTACATTAAGTTGATAAAGATTTAATTGACATAATTTGGAACCCAGTGACCATGTCCCTCCATAAATGCATATTCTTCAATAAATATTGTGCACAAAGCTATATTGAGGTCTGAGAAACATTTGGGAAATTTCCTGCCCCAGGTATTCCTCTTGTTTCCATCTGTGGGTATTTTACCATCACCACTGTCACTCATTCACTCATTGCCACAGGTATTCCACCTTGATGTGCCTCTAACAGAGTGTAAGCACCTAGGAGATAAGTATCCACCTTAGCTGTCATGACACTCCATGAATAGGAACTAAATGGAAAGACACGTATTTTACAGCCACAGGTTTGGAGTTCTTGGATATAAACAACTTCTGTTATAATTATGTAAATGCTTCCCATTCACATTTTTTTATCATTCTAACACTGGTCTTACCAACTGTAGAGAGCCTCTCTATAGACTCTTAAGTCTTCCCATCAATGCAGGCAATATGCTATCATATTGACTTTTTTCCCTTAGGTATTTTGTTAACATCTGTTTTTTGATGGTTGTTTCTAATGATCCCTATATTCTCTTCTGTCAAAACTTTTGCAGAATACCATCATGCCATCCAGTAAGCCAGCCTGAGATTCTTCATTTCTATGTACCCCCAGTTTGACTTGTGGAACTATTTGGAAAAGTTATTTTCATTATATCTCAAAGGGAAAACCACTGGTCCTCCATGCACCTTGTGAAATTCAGTGAAATGTTAAGACATGAAGCTGTCCATCTTATACTGACTGCTAAAGAGAAATCTGAAAAAGAAATAAAAATTTTCATTGAAGAAGGCTTACAAGAGAAAAAAAATCAAGTCATACAATTCAACAAGGAAAGATTAGGCTAAACCAGCCATGATGTTACACCACTGAGCTTTAAGCTATGTAACCCTTAAATAGGTTTTCAAATATCTTCTGTGGGGAAGGCAAAAGGGCTATAACTACCTGCTCAGGGCAGTGACTTCCAGAGGGAGAATTTGGTGGGGTGTTTTAAGAAAAGTAAGGTTCTGTTCTGAGCAACTATGCAAAGCAATATTCTAATGAGCTGAAAAAGTAACTAAGAGGAGCAGTGGAATAAGTAGAACCTGTTGATTGCTACATATTTATCAAAAAACTTTAGTGAAGTGACATTGACTAACAAAACACAAACCAATGCAAGGTAGGAAATACTTTGTAAACTCTACTTTATTATTCTGCTTCTACTGCAGTGTGGTAAACCTTGATTTGGGAAAGGGTTGCAAGCAGATGGTGAATGAAGAATCCTGGGAACCTCTCCTCAAATTTACTTAAGTCTTCTTTACTAGAGTATTCTACATCAGCAACAAATCCACACAAGCTCCAATACAGGCACATATAGTTAGAGTTTATTGTACATTTAGCTGCTTAAAAAAAAAAAAAAAGCAGCTACACATTATATTTGCCCATAATTCTAGACTAAATGCAATTGATTCCTACCACACAGGAGACTTAATCTATGCCAAAAATTGTATTTCATTAAGAAAACGATATTATGGAGCATCTGAGATCATGTAACAGACAAAATAGAATGCCAGAGAAATTTTAACTGCCAGTACCCCACAGTGACTGCCTGATTATTTGCAGATGGGATATGGAAAAATTGTGAAATTATTGGAATTTTGGGTCCTGTACGAAAGCATTACTTCAGACTGGATGTGTCATGGCAAATATCTATTATAATTTGAATACATTCTTAGATTGTCCTTTCCGTGCTTAGAAATGGCTATGCTTACTTCTTTAGACTTATTAACTGAAAAAGACTGCATTCTTCAAAGACCAAAACAAAACCCTTAGGTGATAGCACAAAACAGTGCCAGTAAGTCAACTGTCAATACTGATCGTATTTATCCAATAATTAAACTAAAAACTAATTTAAATCAATCTCTTTTGGAAAAGCCAACTGTTCAACAAGCACAACAATTGGTCTAGGATCAATCAGTGAACATGAGATCAATTAAAACCAGCTTAAGTTTTTGTAGGAGGACAATTCACACAACTTGAGTTAGATGTCTATTCATTTCAGTACTCCCACAATGCAGCCCTTAAGCTCTGTTGTAAAGCAGAAATACCACTATCACCCTCCGCTGTCTAGCCAGCACTCTAAGTAGTTCCACATTTAATTAAAGACACAGTATACCCTTTGTTAGCACAGATAGTCTGGTCACTTTAAAGGACTGCTATCGTTTTAGCCACACACACATAAATTAAACTCTGGAAACCATCTGTTGAAAAACCACCAAAACCAAACTGCCTCACAATTTTATTTGTACCTACTCTGAAGGTGATATATGCATGAAAGTGCAAACTATTTTCTTCTCACCGTTTTATTACTGCTTGTAGCAGTTTAACACTGGAGATGTTAAGTCCCTCCCCTTCCAAATAATACCACTAAAACTGCAATTCTTTCAGAAATGTGGATTTCTCAGCAGCTTGAGCCACCTGATTTTCAACTAACTTTAGAAATGAGAGGGGCATTCATGGCCGAGACGGTAACAGGAAAAGGGACAGAAAAATAATTCGGAATATGTGGATAATAAAAACGTTTTATAATAAGGTGAACAACCTCCCCACCACTCAAAAAAAAAAAAAAAAGAAGTAAAAGAGAAACAGCCGAAGCCTCGGCCAGGCTGCCAGCCGGAAAGCGCTGCAGTAACCTCTCCGTCCACACGGGAGCTGTACTGGCACATTGTACCGCTCCGGCTCCCCAAGCTCCGGCATCCCGACACCAGCGTTTAGGGAAACCAATGAAGCCCCAACGCACCGTTTGTGTCTTTTCCTTAAAGGGATCTGCACGTTTCCAGCAAAGCTGACGGCACAGAACTCCACTGAGCGCTGGGCTCTCCCGGCGGCCCGGCCCCGCGGGAGCGGCACGGCGATGCCGGAGGATGGAAGGGGAGAAAAGCTGCCTCGAAACGTCTGCGGAAAGCAGCCTCAGAGTCCGTCCCATGGACACGCCACTCTTAACTGCGCGGGCTAACAGCGATCTCCCGTGAGCCGCTGGACGAGGAGCGACGGCGACATCAGCGATGTCCCCTGCCCGCCACGGCCCCTGCCGCGGGGGCAGCTCCCAGCGAGACCCCGGCCCCGCGGGGAGGACACGCCGTGGGGCCGGGGGCCGTGCCCCTACTGCTCGACGTTCGCGTCCCCGGCAGCCCCGGGCTCCGGCTGGTTCTTTCCCATCGGAGCTCACGCCCACGCCGCTCCTCCTGCTCCCGGTTCGACCTCGGCAGCAGGACGGCGGCGAGCAGCCCCGCGGAGCGGTCGCCACGCCGGCACGGCCCCGCGGCCCCGGGATCGCCCCCGCAGCCGCCCCACGTGCCGGCCCGGTGCCCGCGGAGCTGGAGCGGGGCTCACCTGCCCGAGAGCGGCCCTTCCTTCCCCGCTCCGCTCCCACAGCTGCCCCGGGTGAGCAGCCAGCGACACTCACCTCTCTTGCTGCGTCTCCAGCGGCCAGGCTGGCAGTGGCCGTAATCCATGCAGTTCAGGATGATCAAGGCAAAGGAGAAGAGGCGAAACTGCATCCTGGGCCGCTGGGGTGGGCAGCCTCCTCCGGCGGCAGCGAGGGGCGGCGAGGCCAGCGGCGTGCGGGGCGAGGAGGGGCCGGCGGAGGGTCGCGGGGCAGCGGCTGCCGCTGGGGACCGCAGGAGTTTAAACGCCTCTTGCCGCCCCTCTCGGGCGCTGCGAACTCACCGCCCCTTCCAGCATCTCCGCTGCACTGCAGGGAGAGAGAGGTGAAAAGCTCGGACCCGGCTCTCCTGGTCTTCCCCTGCTCTGGCTCTCCCCAAAAAACAGACAGAGAAAAATCACAACCCGGGTTCTGGCAGGAGCGGGGCGGAGGAGCGGAGTCACCGAGAGCCCCGAGCCTGTCCCAGAGCAGCGGGCGAGCGCTGCCGCCGGCCCCCGCACGCCCCGGGACGGGCTGTCAGCCGGGGGACAGCGCTATTTATCCCGGCGCGGGGCGCTCCCCGCCCACACGCGCTCAGGTCGCGGCTCGGCGGGGCGAAGCCGTCCCCCCCCTACCTCCCGCGGCCGCCCCGTCCCGCCGCCGGGTCCCGAGCGCGGCTCCGGCTCCGCGCCGCGGGGCAGCCCCAGGCGGGCCGCCGGGCTCGGCGGGGCGGGCGGCGGGGGCTCCCGGGCACATGCAGGCGGTGTCCGCGCCGGGCCCCCGGCCGCCCGCCGCCGTCCGCTGCTTTTATGCGGCGGGGCCGTGCGGGCTCCGCGGGGATGCGCGGGGCCGCGGTACGTGGGTGGTGCCGGGCCCCGGCCCTCCCGCCGCCCAGCCCTGGCGCCGCCCGCCTCCGCCGGGCCCTAACGCCAGCCGGCCCCAGAGCCGCTGATGCTTTTGCCTGGAGGCTCTTCCTCCGCGGGCTTCTCCCTGTCCCCGCAAAGCGTCCTCGTCCTTTCTCTTTCTCTGCCCTGCTTAAAGCCTGGGGAAACCTAGTCCTCCTCACTTCTCGCCCTGTTCTTTCTTTTTTTTTTTTTTTTTTTCCCTTTTCGTTTCTTCTTGATAATTATGTCTTTCAACCCTAGATTTAAGACCTTGATTGATTTATTCCCCCCACCCCTCCCCCGCTTTCCTTCTGGCTTCCTAAAGTCTGATCTCACACGCTTTAAAGTCTGTTCCTTGAAACACTTTCATTGTCTTGGCGAGATGGCTCTAGAAGTCCTGAAGTGTGACTTCAGTAAGTGACGTGTACTGGTTTCTAGCCACATCTCTACCTGGCAAAGGCATTGTAAAGCTAGTAAAATGGGAGTCCCAATGGTACAGATAAGGAAGGCTGAAACATGGGGGAAGCCAAGAGTTTCCAAGTGAATGCAGTTTTGGTACAGGAAGGTCTGTTAATTCCTCTTAACATCCACTACACTGACTCCGCAGTGCAATTTCTCTCTCTGCTGCTCACTCACAGCCTGTTCCCCAGCGCTGCGGCTCTGGCCAGACCGTGACTCTTCGCTTGTGGTGCTCGTCCCGTTGTGCCTGACCAGACGAGCCCCGTAGGACCCGGGACTCTATGGAGCAGGTGCAAAAGCTGGGAGGCAGCATGGATCTGGTACAGCTGGTGCAAGACAGGTCTAATAAACCCAGCTGGATCCAGGATAGTGGCTGGGTCTGTGCTGGGTGTTTCTGCTGCTCCTTCTTGCCCCCCTCCCCCCGAGACTCCACGCCAATAATTCTGGTGCTGAAATACCTGAGCTGCCTCGGGATGGAGCCAGCTAGGTTCTCACAAAAGCAGATGTACTCTTTCCACAGCAGAGCTGGCCATAGAAAGCATAACTGCATTCGTGTGGCACTGTGCCTGAGCTAATATATCGTGTTAGACCCAAGCTGGCTTTTCATCCATGGCCTGAACAATCTAACCACACATAAGTGAAGTCTGGCTGTATAGTGTTTGCCATACTATCCTGAGACCTCAGAATTTTTGACTGCATTTACTGTATAATATTTCTCTGGAGCAGAAAAGTATCAGTATCATCAGTTTCCATACTGAAGACTGACTCACAAAGAGGGTAAATAACTTGCCTGAAATCAAAAGGGGTGTATGAGACTGACTTGAGCTTCCCAAGCTCTCAGATATTTCTGTAATCCCTATGCTGCCCTTCTTCATATTTTTCTAGTCTATAGTAGTAGCACTACACTAGTTTAATCACTAGCATAAAATACAAAGATTTTTTAAAGTCACAGTACATCCCTAATCCCTACTGCAAGTTTGCAAAAGACACCAAGCTGAGTGATGCAGCTTATCAGGGTTGAGGGTGGTCCCCAACAATTTTTTTTAGGGTTCTCAGATATTTAGGGTGGAAGTGGCAAAACAGAAGAAGAGCAGTACCACGACCATGGCTTAGCAACATAAAACACTTTAATAACAGTGAAAGTAAAAGTGGGACAAGGCCCAAAAATCCAAATACAGCAACCAAGGGGATAAGGTCTCTTTAGGAGCCAGTGGTCGAAGACAAGGATTAAGGGAGGTCCAGGGTTTAAACAGGGGTAGGAGAGGAGGTGGAGTTGAAATAGGGTCCAATGCGTACAGGGGAAAGTGGTGCAGAGGTGGGACGAGGGGAAGCAGGGTCCAATGGGATAGGTGTTGTGGAACAATGCACCGAGGGCCAATGGGAACACAAGGAAGGGAGAACATTCTGGATGTGGGAGTGGTGGTAATTGACTAATAAATTAGATATTAACATGGGCAATCCCATAACTCTTTGGGAACTTTTCTCGAGGGCCACCACAACTTAAACAAATGCTTTCCACGGTCTAGGCTTGGGATACAAGTCTTCTGCAGTGATGGTTGCCTGACCTGGTGTCCCAGTCAGGCTGACTCCCACAGCAGCTGACATACCTGAAGGATGAGATCCATCCAGAGGGACCTGGACAAGCTGAAGAAGTGGCCACATGGGAATCTCATAAGGCTTAACAAGACAAAGTGCAAGGTGCCGCACCTGGATTGGGGCAACTCCCAGCACCAATACAAGAGCAGCCCTGCCCAGAAGGACCTGGGGGTGCTGGCAGATAAGAGGCTGGACATGACCCAGCAATTTGTGCTTGCAGCCCAGAAAGCCAAACGTATCCTGGGCTGCATCAAAAGCAGTGTGGGCAGCAGGTGGACAGAAGCAATTCTGTCCCTCTACTCTGCTCTAGTGAGAACATACCTAGAATGCTGTGGGGTCCCCAGCACAGGCAGCACATTGATCTGTTGGAGTGAGTCCAGAGGAGGTCACTAAGATGATTAGAGGGATGGAACATTTTTCAGGAAAGCCTGAGAGAATTTGAATTATTCGGTCTGGAATAGAGAAGGCTTTGGGCTGACCTAATTGCAGCCTTCCACTACCTGAAGGGAGCCTACAAAGAAAGAGAAGAGGTTGTAGTGACACAGGAGGATGTCTCCAAACTGAAAGAGAGTAGTTCTGTATTAGCTATTAGGAAGACATTTTTTACTGTGAGTGTGGTGAGACACTGGCACAGATTGTCCAAAGAAACTGTGGCTGCCCCATCCCTGGAAATGCTCAAGACCTGGTTGGATGGAGCTCTGAGTAACCTGGTCTAGTGGAAGGTGTCCCTGCTCATGGCAGGAAAGTTAGAACTAAATGCTCTTTAGTGTCCCCTCCAATCCAAGCCATTTTATGATTCCATGATGTGAGTATTTTCTGAAGCAAAATATTTATTTACTGTAACTGTCATTATGGGGTTACAGTGTGTGAGATTCCATTGTGCTATGCAGAGTACCTTTCAGTGTTATCATAATCTGAGAATTACAAAGATGTAACCTGTCAACTAATTAACACAGATCTAAGAACTCGGTCAGGGTCAGTCTAGCTCAGTGTCAGTGGCATCCAAGCAGGTTTGGAGTGAATGCTAGGGAAAGAATGCAAAAAAAGGCATGTATATATGTGGTTTATGGTCTTTATTTTCCCCAATCTGCTTACACAGCGAAACTTTTCTGTAAAACTTGTTACAATTGAGGCCATAATTTATTTCAGTCAAGTGTGCTTACTGTCAACTGGAGATCTCCAAGATGTGTAGTCCCTGTATCCACTCTAATTTCATGTGACGTGTTGTGTACTCTCGACAGCTAAAAGTGAGATTTTTTGCACTAGCACTAACTTTAGTGCATGTGCTTGTGATTTTCTGACGCAGAAATAAGTGTACCAGCACCCTAGAGATCCTCCCAAGCTTTAATGCCAGGGAAAGAGATCAAACTACAAGAAGGGGAAATCAAACAAAGGTGTTAACTACACTTTTATGAGGGCTCCGGGAACTAATCTCCTTTACTGTTTCATGTCTACAAACCCATAATTATGCAGCTTTGACTCTACAACAATCTAGAGTCTTGGAGTCCTTTTTGCAGTGATACCAGGATCTCTCCACTAACACAGCTCCACTTCTGGAAGTGTCTGAAATAAAAGTATGAAAGGACATCCTTACAGGTGTCCTGCTGGTACTGAAGATGACTGACATCTCTCAAAGTGTGGTGTCAGTGGTCTGGAAGCCAAACCAGATTCTGCAGAGCCCAGAATATTTTACAGTCAGAGGGGAAAAAGCTCCAAGAGTTTAAAATGCAGAGGAAGGAAAAGTACTGGGATGAGTTCAATAGGCCATGGTAGACTTTGTCTCTGCAGCTTCACTTCAATTAATAGAGAGGAATTGACTGCAGGTGTGGCACCTTGTGTGTACTGTGGCTCTAATGAACACTGCACTCATTCTAAGGTGGGCTTTGTCACAGTGAGGAACTGGGAAAATTATCTGAGCATGTTCAATTAACATAGTCATAGAAAGAATGCTCTAGTCAAGGCCCAAGTAGATGATGTGGCAATGATTGAAATACCAGATGATGACAGTCTGGGCAACAGCTTTAGCAATAGGGATAGCTAAGAACGGGTGTATTCTACATAGATTATTGAAAAGTCTCAGCAGCCAAATTAATGTATTTGAATACTGCTGAGATGATTCATTACACACTGTTCAGAAATCATATTATTTTCTAGAACTAAATTTCAGTTCATAGAAAATTAATTTTTATGTGTTGTGCTCCACAGAGGTTTCACTGA